CCACCAACCAAATTGCATGTGTATTTCCCACATACTGAATGTGTGACATTATGGTGATAGCTTTCCACCAACAGAAGGCAACTGGCAAATTCTGCTACAAACCGAGAGAGCACAAGAACAGACAAGCACACATATTTTATGAAATTGAATCTGTGATTTCAGCTTGCTGCTCCTATCCATCCTATACCAGTCCTGCTGCTCAATTATTCTTACTTTTGCAAGTGTGAACTGGTGCAGATATGAGATATGATAGGTGGAGGTGTGACAGCCTATCCTCTAAGTGATATGATTAAATTAGATAACACCAACACAGCTACATATCTTCTCCATCTGGACAATCATTTTAACATGGCTTCATACAGCTCACAAAGGGGACAAAATAGGTCAAGAACATCCGAGTGACAACTAGGCTTAAAAGAAGATGGCTCACTATCTTATTTAGTCACTTCCCCTCCTTCAACCCCCACAAAGACGACACGGTGGTATTCAAAACTCATATCAGCATGGATTTGCAAGAGGCAAAAATACCCCCACACATGCATGTGTCACACACTGAGGTCTGCTGCAGCTGCAGTTTGACCCCTGCCTGCTTTAAGCCAATGGAGAGGAGGTTCTTCTTCTATCAAAGGCAAAGTTAACGGAGTTGAGAGGTCCTTTAGAGACAACATCCGTTAGGCTCAGTCAAAGACATTCTTAGGAACTATGTGTTGTCTGCTCAAGGCTACACGGTACAAATTAATTGGGGTGGAATCAATGCAGAGAAAGCAGTAATAATTTGAGACACCTTATTGCTGACTAGAACCCCCTATAAACCAAACCAACTGTAAATAATTACACCTACTTGGCAAAAATGACACTGAGAAAATGGCTGTTTAGATGACGTAGACTGTATATGAGTAATGAATGAGCTTACAGATTATCCTCTTATATACTTATCTTATATGATTTTTTCTTGCAGCACATATTATTCTATTAACTCAAACTGATCAGACCCCAGGTGGCATGTTTGATGTTAAAATAGCTGAGGTGGTGCTGCAATGTCGTATGTGGCAGAGTAGAACTCGTTTTTTAAACACTATTGCATCTGGAGAGTACGTTTTGCAACACACAGCAGCAATGCCTTGTGCAAACTTTCACTACATAAGAAATCATCACTTTTGTGAAAACCTGGGTGACGGCAGCATCATTGTTTTGTCAACACTGCAGGGTGGCAGCGACAGTGAGTGTCATGAAGTGGTGACCAATCCCATTCCATACCAAGGATCTGTAGCAGTAATTAGTTTGGGAGTCCCGTGTCTTAAAGCAGACCTCTTTAGTAATTTGGATTAAGCAGATTACCCATGATAATACATTTAAGAATAACTTTCCACTGCAGGGCTTCCTGCGAACTGACAAGCTTAGCCTTATAGTTAAATGATGACCCCGTTTCAGTCACACCTCAAAAACCTCTTCCACAGCACACACAGATTTACCAGGTCTGTTAATATCTAATAGTTTTACATATCTTTTTTTGAAACTGGTTATGTACTTTAAAGCACCAAGCTCTCCCTTTAAGCATAGACCAAAACATTATTATATAAGCTTTGAGTCTGGCAAATACATCTGATAGGCTTACTAGGTTATTAGGAATGTTTGCTTTATGCCTGTACATTTTTCTAGAGATGTTTGTATGGTAACTGTGTCAAAGAGCATGCATTCCGACACACTCCATAGGCTGCAGCGAAGGAAAAACCGATAGAAAATATGTGTGAACAGTGAGCAGAGAAATAGCTGTTGGTTAAGAGAGTGCTGTGGAAACTCAGCACTGAGTCATAACCCATGCCATTATAGAAACGAAAAGTTTAAAACTGTTACCGTCTAATGTATAGTATTCATATGTTTTACCCGCTACCTCATTGGAAGATGCCTCGTACTAAAATGACACTACAGAAATCCCAAACTAAGTGTAATAAACAGCAGAACAAGACCAAAAAAGGCTTTCAGTTGACTTCAGATTGTACCCATATTAAAACTGGACATAAACCAACTAGGCCAAAGTTTTTTTAAATAAGTCATTAGACATAAAGAAGCCATAGTACATCATGTACTACATACCACACACCCTGGGTGAATTGTGTAACAACTGCTAACATTCACTGGCTCCTGAATGAGGAAATTCTTTGTTACGTTACATTCATTCATTGTGTGATCCAGGAAACTTCCATGTCAGACCAAATGAAGACAAGAAATAACTCTTAATAAAGCAACATTGCTTCTGGGCGTAATAATCAAGGGTGGAGTAAGTGCCGTAAAAGTTTGAAGCCTGCTTGCTTCCCTTTAGTTCCCTGGCCTCAGAGAGGAAGGTGCATGAGTTTCCTTGTGCAGCCCGAGCCTTGTCCCAGCATCAGAATGAGCCCGGGGGACAAAGCCCTCTCGGGCTGTTGGCTCCTCGGAATCTACCCACTTGGCTGGCCAGGCCTCCTGATTTGGCAGGCGTGGACAGAGAGGGAAGCCCTGATAACTATCGAGTCTAAAAAGCTGTGCGGGCAGTACTTGAAAACCAGGACAGGCAGCAATTTATAACTTTAAGATGGCAAGAATTCACTTAAAAGCAAATCAAAGGTCCAGGAAAGCACAGAAACCAATTTTTCAGGATATATAAACATAAAGATAACAAATTAGATTTAGAATTGGACTACAAAATCAAAATAAGACAAAGATGGTGTGCTGGTGCTAGGCAAATGGCAGAAAATGTTAAGTATTACAACATTTTATATAAATAATAAGCCATGTAGCAAATAATTTAAAAGGCATGATTCCACAACAAAAGAAGACTATGAAACTATATTTAACTATCCAATAGTGTTACCCTTTATCAGTAAAGTTTAAATGACTGCATGCCATAAAAAAAAATGTATTTACAAGTGATAGGTATGCAAATTGGGAGGTGGTTCTTTGAATAGTTAAGCCTGACAAATAATGTATAATCAAAATTCCTGTAATAAACTATAAACAAGTAGCAAAGTGCACACAGTATGGCATCATAGTAGGAAAACATTAACAAATCTGCTCTTCCTGAGTGTACTATATGTTGAATCAAGTACAACTAAGACACCCTATATAAGGGCTTATCTGAAGCTATAGCTCAAGGAAATTAACAATGATGCTAACAAGATAAAACTGATACAATGTATCAAGCTCAGGCATACATTTAAAGACTCATCATTCAAGTGGGGCAATTAGGGTGCTTGAAGGATTTCAAAGATTCTCCAGAAAATACTTTCATTCAGCATCAAAGTTAGATCAACAAACTATACATGTATTAGGACACAGTGTGACATTTATATTCACATATTTACTAATTTCTTTATTCAAGGTGTAGTAAAGCTAACAACCTAAGTATTGCTCATTTAAATACCAAAAGTAATAACAACACCACAACTGGTCTTAGATGTCTATTGAGTCTCCTCACAATTCAACAAGAGCTGTTCAGTGTAGTAGAGTACCAAATGTCCCAGCATGCTTCGTCATGTCTAATCGCCGGGGCCGGCCTTGTGCTCACTACTGAACCAAGATATGTAACGGCAGCTGTTCGTACAGTAAGAAATATAGTACTTGTGGATACAGCAGCCTGCGATCACAGAAATAGCAGAACTGATCCAGCTACAGCGGTTATCTTCCGTGCTAGCCCAGATTAGCTTCTAAATCACACGTTATAATGGAATAAACCATAAGAGCATAAGAATAGTTACACATGTCGACGAAAAGCACACTTTACCGACATTATTAGCACAAAGGTGGGGGCTAAATAGTGGTCCGGACATGGCTACAAGTAGTAGTAGTTGTATTATCCACACGGGAAAAGGCTTGCCTCTCAAGTTCGTCTCAGAGTGGCTACAGCTCAGCATGATGAATGAGCTAGCTAACATTAAAGCTAACCAACTAACGTGAGGCAGGTACTAACGTTAGCCGACCAATCCAATTATTGGTACAGAGGACGACTCCACAGATAGACTGATTAAGCTATCATATTAGCAGGAACAATTGTATTTCCTTCCCACACACTCAGTCCGTGTGGAGGCGTGGATCTCTGCCTCACGGGCCTCGCCTCGCTGGTGACCCAACCTCCCTCTCTCCTGAAATCTGTGACCCGGTTTGCTGCTTCTTTCTTCCGCTCAAGTCCTGAGGGCCGTTCCCAGGCCTGGGTGAGAGCTTAGCCGCGGTGAGACCGGAATGAGCGGCCTGTTGACGGAATATACATAATACCAACGAGAACAGCTAATTGAGGCGTACCTGTAGCTTTAGTTTGCTGTTCCCGTGGCTGGTGGTTAAATGGCGTTGTTCTGCGTTGACTCCGGCAGACTCCTGACTTCCCAGGGCAGCTCCAGCCTGGCTTTCTTCTGCGCTATCCGTCACACTATCTGCCGTTTCTGGTTCGCGGGGGCGGGTCATACTCAGGATGCTTTGGTGCGCTTGTTTTGTGACTCCGGGCACACCGTTCGGGGCGGCTAGTAAGCAAGGCTAAGTAAAGAGATATGCCCGCCTTTCCAAGACAGCCTTTGCTCATGAATCGACAAAAGCAAAGAGGGGAGTGGTCATTGCACTTCCCCAAAGTCCATAAAACAGCACTACAGAGAGCACAGCAGTGGTATTTAACCAGCCACACTACTTTCATTTCAGTTACATTTATCTGTGGTATCTTGTGACCTAACGACAATTGATTTTCATTTATTATAATAGGGAAACAACCGTATTTCTTAAAGAATTGAAATTAAATTACCTTTGTCTACAACATTTTACATTACATGTATTACGCTATAAACCAGAGGCCATCATTTACAGTAATTTTACAACAGCTAAAGGGCGTTGTTGGGCACAAAGTGGATTATTATTGTTATTGATTGACAGACCGAAAAAAATAAAAATGAAAACACTGGCTTCAAAGGAAAACCATTTAATATCAAATAAGTAAATCTTAAACACTATATGTGAAGTAATGATAATCAAACACTGATATTTTTTGTAGCTATCACTGCGTCAGGATGAATCCGTCATTCCTCCTCTGTGTCCATGGACTCCGAGGGCCCTGCGGCCTGTAGCTCTGCCTCATATTGCTTCTTCAGGCCCTTCAGATACATTCTCAAGCTTTCGGGGTCAAGTCTGGAGTTCCTGGCAGTCTGCAGGAGGCGGGTGGCCAGGTGGTACACAGCTCTCTGCCTCTGTGTTTCCGGATCACTGTGATGTTTGGCCTGGAGCAATAATAAACCACATCATTAGGGTATAGTCTGAAAGGTTTATGGTAAATGAAAGCTTGTTTTACTGTTGCAAAATGTAGCTTGTGCTGTATAAAATCATGTACTGTAAATTAAAGGGACACATAAAACGTTGAAGATGGCAAAAGCAAATCATCGTGAACCATACCAGAAGCTGCTGGCTAACTTTGGAGGCAATTATTTTTGCCTCTTGAATTATGTTTGAAGGAAGTGCAGTCATTTCTGCTGCTCTCAGACCTAAGGAAGCAAAAACAAGCAGTGAGAAATGTCTTTGACCAGTTTAATCAGGATTGTATTCAGATTTTACCGACTCAGTACCATAGTGTCTTTCTTCAGAGCACCCTCGATTTAGCAGGTACGTGTACACCACGCTCTCTGCCCCGGTGTCCCCACTGCGTGTGTGCTGAACCTCCATGTGCTGGTTCTCCACGTTGGGATAAAGAGACTCCAGATGGCAGAGCTCCAGATAATGTGTTGCAAACAGAGTGAACGCCTGCAAACACCCAGGAAACAGCACACCTTAAAGAATTAAACACACGGTATTCCTGTATTGACTTTACCTCTTTGTTGTTGACCTAAGAGGTGTATCTCACAGACAATTGCAAGTTGTTAATAATGCGCATAGGAATCAGATTTGTCTGGTTTCCATTTAAGAGGAAGGAATGTCAGTTGAGGACTGTATGCATACTACCTTGAGGCTAAGGAGGAACTCGCAAACTGTGTGGCAGATGCCGATGCCTTCCTCAGCACTGGTTCCACGCCCCAACTCATCTATGATAATCAGGGACCTGTCACTTACATTGTGGATTATGTAAGCGATCTTTGGGGAGTAAATATGCAGTCAATCATTATTTAATTATTTATTTCGCTCTTAAAGAAAGTGAGAAGCCCTAATGTTAAAATACAAACATACCTCCTTCATTTCCAACATGAAGGTGGAAGAGTTTGTTTCAAAATCATCATCCACACCTATCCTGGTAAAAATCTGATCAGCAACACGAAAAGATGCATACTCAGCAGGGACAAAGGAACCTGGAATACAAAATAATGTAAGGGCGTTACTCAAAAAGTCAAATCAAATCCTGGCACTGTGCAGCTCCACATTCCAGATTCCTGCGAGGCTTTAGAGGTTTGCTGCTGACCTATCTGAGCCATGATCTGACACAGCGCCACCTGCTTGAGGTAGGTGGATTTGCCGCTCATGTTGGGTCCAGTGATGATGACAAAGTTGCTGCCCTCGGAGATGTAGCTATTGTTCGATACGGGCTGCTGTCCAACAATCCGCTCCAGAATGGGGTGACGACCCTGCTTGATGGCCAGCGTGTCTGTGAACTCTGGGCGCACTGGCAGACGAAGCAGAAAGAAAAGGAACAATCAAAATGACCTCTACTTGTTAGTATGTTGTTTACATAATAACTCTCTTCCATGCATGTCCATGGGATGATGCCAGTAAACTGTGAGTTAATTAATGTGAATTCTGTGAGTTAATTAATGTGAATTAATCTACATAATTAAATTCTTAAGTAAGCTGGTTGTTTAACTGAAAGGTTTGTGACAGGATAATAAAGCAGATTTTTCAAAGAGGAGTGTGCATTGGTTACAGCCAGTTAGCTCCTCCGCTGGGGGGATTTGTCTGGGTTAATACAGCGCACCAGTGCACACTTATGTAACAAGGGTAATCTGAGTACAGGCTGGCTAGGATAGAGGGGGGCAGGCAGTCAGCACATGTATCTGGAGATACACTTTCAGACAGCTGAGGCCCAGCGCACACCACCCACGTGGCTGATCGGGCTGGTGCTGCCCACGACCCCACAAAAAAAAAAGACCTGATGCCAGCAGAGCTGCCAGCTCAGTGGAGCAGTGTCTGACTGTTGTGTGTGACGTCGGCTGGGTGCTGACTTTGTGCACACAGCACTCCTTAAGACAACAGATCAGCATCCTGAAAGGTTCATTTGACAGTTTGACTGAATTGAGATAGGTAGTCGGTTCAGTGATTCATACTAACCATAGTCTGAGATGGTGCATGCGTTGGCCAGTGACAGCAACATGTCCAGCATGGAGACAGCATCAGAGAGCTTGTAAAGGCAGTGGATGTGCTCGTGGACAGTGCTTAGCAGCTGACATGTAACCCTGTGTGGAAGACAGGTTAGATGCTGCAGGGGAATAGTACTGAAGGAAGATTTGCTAACAAACAGTACCCTCTGGTGGACAAAAGGTAGAACACATGAATTAATCTAAATAAGCTGTTAAAATGAAAACTTAGACAGTGCCCACAAAACAATACATTACTGTGAATGTTTGGTACTAGTGATATGATCATGATTTCCTCACACATAGGACATATGGAAGATCTCCCTCAGGGCCTCATCACAGCGGTCATTCATCTTCATCAGGTCAGCAATAGTGAAGCCATAGTTGTTCTTGTGCTTGGTGACCTGCGGAGGCAGATGTTGAAATCAAGCTTTTGTGTTCTTTCAATAGTTAGATATAGCATTTTCTCTGTTCTTAGTTAGCCTGTTAACTCTCTAACTTGAGTGGACCTTGATGAACTCAGGGGGGAGTTTCCCTTCAGGCAACACCACCCCTTCAAGCTTCATCTGGATGAAGAAACCTCGAGCTGTGCTGAAGCTGGTACGCATCGGCAAACCGTATTTCTCCCCCGTCTGGTTCACCAGGCCTGTGCAACATTCAAAGTGTTTTGTTGTTTAAATGTTTTTGGCATTAAAAAATGGAAAAAGATTATGGCAGAAAATACTTTATTCAGACTCTCATATATGTAGAATATATATGTATCATATTAAAATGTATATATTTAGGTTTTGGACTGTCAAAACATTCAAATAAATCACATTGGACCTTTAAAATCTGGAATGGACATGTTTTAGTATGTTTTCTTAAAAGTATGGACCGAAACAAATAGAGAAATATTTGCCATATAATTATGATAATGAGAGATAATGAAAATAATGAATAGTTGCAGCCCTAATTGTAAGCCAAATATATCAACTGAACAGCCAAATGACACACCTGCAATGTCGTCCACTATCTCAGTGTAAGCTCTGCGTGCGATGTCGAGGAACTCGTTGATGTTGGGGCGGACAGCATAACACTTCTGGGTGCGCATGTTCAGGCTGCCCTTCACGTAGGTAGTATCCTCATTTATCACTGTCTTGATCTGCGCTAGGATCATGTCAAACCTGAGGATAACTCAAAAATATTGAGTGTAAGAAGTCTATAGTACATGATGGCAAATGTATATCAAACATAGTCACAAAACTTGGTACCTGTTGTCTTCCAGGGAAGTGCTGTAGGCCTTGAGCAGAGCTGTTTTGCAATTCTTTAACACCAACTATTCGAAAAGGGAAAATGCTTCAAACTTAATATTTGCCAACTTCATCATTCTCTAAATGGGTATAGAATGATTTAAAACCAATTTCACAAACCCGTAACCGTGGCACTAGGTCTAACGTGTGTTTCAGCTGAATGACGTGAGTAATTTTTGCTTCAGCAACCTGAACCTATAGGAATACAGAAACAAGAACTGATTTGTTAAAAGGCAGACAAACATTTCTCACATATTTTGGCAATTCAGTTAGCTAACATTTTCACACGCATTCCACTGCTATGAAATCAGCTTATACAATCACAAACACTGAAAGTACTGTATGTACCGTTTCCTGCTTTGGGATTTGGACGAGAACAGAGAGCAGCTGGTCAATGTCAAGGAAATGACCTATGGCTGTGCAAAAGAGCAGATATTGAAAAACTGTGTCATATTATTATTATTATTATATTCCCATCTTCAGTATGCACATGAATCTTTAATGTATCAATACAAAGCATTTGTGGTTATTCCTGACCATTCTTCAGGCCAAAGAAGAGCTCCTCGTCCTGCAGCAGCTCTTGTATAGTATCCAAGCGTATGTTGATGGTGTCTACATCAACCAGAGGCTCCAGAATATTGGAGCGCAACCTTCTAGCTCCACCAGGCGTTTTAGTGTGGTTAAGTACACCTAAAAGAGTATGCTCGCTCCTATACACAGATAAGCAGACAGATCACTTAATGCACATGATAATAAAAGCACTACACACTTAAAAGATGCTTTGACAGTCTCGCCCTCTTACCTGTGGTCTCTGTTATTGACCACCAATTCCAAGTTAGTGGCAGATGCTGAGTCAATCATTGCTGTCTGCTCGCTCCCTTTAAAGCTCACTTTGAGAGACTTGGCAGCGTAGACAGAGTTCTGGATGAACTCCAAATATTTCAACAAAGCAGCTGCTGCAGCTAGGCAATAATACCTGAAAACATAATGACATTTGGTAATAAAAAAATATTGTTACAGTACATCTGCTTCTATACATTAATGTACTCAGTAGCGTACTTAGTTTGCACTTCCATGATGACGGTGCCAAATTCTGGAGCACACAGCTGCTGAATGTACTCCAGTCCTTTCCTCTCATTAAAGTACTTCCTTTGGATAGCAGTGAAAGCTACACCCTGACAAACAAACATAATAATATTGTAATAAATATAATAATATGATAAATACAAATAGTATGACACAATAGCAGCTTTAATAACACATGTCAATAGATGGTACACACCATACAGAAGAGACAGAAAGGGGTGAGACAATAAGATTTGATTATGGATCGCAATTGAATAAATCTTTCGGGCTATTGTAAACATCCTTGGAAAGGCTTTTTATTTTGCACTCATCGTAGTAAAATGAAATACATTAGTGGATACATTAAAGCGTTTTGTTTTCTAACAAAATCCTGGGAATCCAATATGTTTTAGTGCCATTTAAGCATATTTTTATCATTGTCAGGATTACATTCTAAATCGCGATTATTCTGGCCTAAATGTCGCATAAAATCTTCCTATCGTCCCGTGCCTAGTATGAGTGAGTGAATACTGTAAGCATGAGTGATCTACTATCTTCTTTCAAAGTGGGTATTTTTGAACAAATGGTGTGTTTGACTCATAACAACTATTCTGCACAGGTACCGGGAAGTTCTCCGTGATGAGGTTGAACAGCTTGGTCCCTTTCCCCTTCTCACTGGCTGTGTCTGGCATCAGTATTTCCAGTGGCACCAATATGTGCATTTTGGTAATGACCTACAAAAGAGTAACATATGAGTGAGACAAGAGTTTCTTCTATTTTAAGAGTCTGTGCTGAGTGTAGCCATGATTTCCAGCCAATTAAGCATGTAGGTTAGAGCTTTTGACAACATTACCTTGGCATACGCCCCAGTGTCTGCAAACTGGGAAAGTATAAGCTCTGGGCATTTTAAGTTGAGACTAGCAATGCCAATCTCTCCCCTGGCCAAACCGCGGCCTTCAACCACCGCAACAATCACAGAGGCACCACAAGTTGACGTTGCAGAGGAACAGCTTGTTACTGCAACCAAAACATTCATTATAATTAGAATCACAGCTTCAGTCATGTTGACATGGTCAAACAGTATCTGAGGTTAAAGTACCAGTGTGATCAGTCAGTGGTGTCCGTGCTGGGTGTGTGCCAGGGGCCCCAGCAGACCCCGGGGTCCTCCTGAGTTTCGGTGTTCCTCCACGGCTGCGAAGGGAGGAGCTGTCCGAGGTAGTCGCAAGAAGTGATGAACTGGTCCTGTCTAACGTGTAGCTGTGATGGAGCTGACCTTTTTCAAGACAAATATAAGTATTTGAATGGAAATTCAGCATTGTTGTTGTTGAAATGTCTTCTGTCCAATAACAATAGCTTCCAATTCATGTGACCTATAGAATACCATTCCATATTAGATATTATTGCTATTCTCGACAAATAAGACAGACCTTTTGTATTTTATTTTAAGGCATACTCTGTTTCATACCAATACTGTATTAAAATTCAGCTTTTTTTGTTGAAAAGTCTCGATGTATGTCATAAGCTTCCATATAATGTAACCCATTGACTCCAAATCAATGCAGAATTGTAAAACTACACAGGTAAATCAGAACACACTTATTTTCAATGGAGTTTAGTGTTTTTTCTATGTTAAGAGATGTCCACTGACTGTTGACAGTCTTTAACTTCATTTGTAAGGCCATTGTTATAAAAGTAAAAGAAGCTAACATTGGTGCTAGCTTAAACTGCTACGGCTATCATCACCTGAGGCCATCCGGGGGAGCGATAGACCATGGCCGGAGCTCGAGCTGCCTTCACCTAAACTCTGGTGGGATGAACTGGACGAAGTTGAAGGGGGACAGTACGAGCTCGTTTCATTCGGCTGGCCCCATGTTTCTCTACATTCTGGGGTGTCACCTACCTCGTCTGTGCTGCTAGAAAACATTTAAAAACCTGGCAAAGGCAGATGAAGAGACCTAAATTACCGAACGTATTAATTCATGTTTTAAACTTTATGCTAGGAATAGCAAAAAGAAATGTGGATTGGAAGAAGTCCGACCGGAAGCTTCCAAAACCCGCCACACCGAAAGTACGATGCACGAGCCAAATCAGCGCGCGATCATGTTAGGTCCTAGCATGCAGCATCATCGGGTGTCAGTCACGATGGATTGTTTAACCAAGACTACTGACTGATTTAAATAAATATGTACATCAAACATTATATACACACAAAACATTGACATCGGTGGGACATAGGTACATATACAGAGTCAAACAAATACAAAGAGGTAAAGAAAGAAAATAAAGAAAGTGATTGAAAATATATTTGTCAAACACCCATTTGGTTTTGATTGCATTCATATTTTTTAAAGTGTTGCCATATTGAGAATGAGTGAGTAGGCTCACATCACTGGTTCTTGTTACACAAATAGTTATCTTGTAATAACATTCAGTAAGTGCACTTTTTTTTCTGCTTTTATTCTGAAAATAACACACCGGAAATCACGTACTTGTTCCTGCCGCTGCCAACATGGCGGCTGATGCAAAAGAGGGTGATTATTTTGTGAGAGAAATTGAGAAAAACGACGGCTTTTCCCTAAAAGTGAAGCAGTGCTACTTGGGAGATGTTGGCTGTGTTGTTTGGGATGCAGCTATTGTCCTGGCAAAATATTTAGAGACGAAGCAGTTTTATGATCCGTCCTCAGGAGTGAACGTGTGGGCTGGGAGGACTGTGGTGGAGTTAGGAGCTGGGACAGGAGTTGTTGGGCTGATGGCAGCAACACTGGGGTGAGAAAACTTACTTAGAATCAGAGTTATAATTGTGGGGGAAACTTCTGTGTAGCAATGCAGTGGGAGTCACCGACTCAGGAAGGAGACACGGTGAGAGTTCGAGCTTTTGATGTCAAACACTGATGGGTTTATTCAGAGTATCGGCCGGAGGATTCACATCACAAGTCAAAGAGTCAGAGGTTCTGACTTCACGGTAGAGTTCCCACGTCAATTCTGAAGAGCCTCTCTCTATGTTAGACCTTTTAACTGGTTCACAGAGAGTAATCAACATCTCTGAAGGAGTAGACTAAACAGCTGGGAACACTGAACCACTTGCGTCTGACACTCATGGCCTCAAAGATTTCACAAACACCGATAAAGCAGTCCCTCAGCGTTCTCACAACAATTACCATTCGTGCCAGACAAGTTGACCGGTCACAAACTGGTAACAACAACACATATGGCACCAATGCCTTTCCTTAAAGGAGATAACAGACGTCAGAGTAGATCATAAAACGTCACAGAGCAAAAGGTTAGATATCTAGAAGAATTATTCCTTAACAATAATGATACCTAATTGTTTAAATATTATTATACAAGTGTTGTACCTCCAACGTGTTGCTATTCAACAACGAACTAGCTGCTTTTCCCCCCTTGCTTTGGAGTTATGAACTAATAACGAACAGAATAGTAATAGATTGTTTTGATTGTGTTATAAATCCCATAGAGCTGACGTCACTGTGACAGACCTGGAGGATTTGCAGACCCTCCTGAGGTTGAACATCCAGGAAAACCAGGCACTAATCAAAAGTGGATCAGTTACTGCCAAGGTACTGAAATGGTTTGTACTTTAATTTTGTTATTTGTATTTCAGTCATATAACCCAATGTGATGTTCAACACATTGCAAGACAACGGCTTGATTTCTGCTCTCCTTAAAAGGGGTGAAGATGTGTCTGACTTCCAACCTCCCCCACATTATGTCCTTATGGCTGATTGCATCTATTATGAGCAGGTAATTTACTTTTACTTTGCCCTTAAATCTAATCATGAATATTTATAAAATGGTGCCGTATCACTTTCATTGCAAAACAGAACAAACAACTGTAGCACTGTATTTCTCTTAGTGACTTATAATACATTTCCACACAGTCTATTGTTCCTCTGGTGGAGAGCTTGAAGCTGCTCTCGGGGCCAGAAACCTGCATTATTTGCTGCTATGAGCAACGCACAGAAGGAGTCAACCCAAAAGTGGAGAATCAGTTTTTTGAGGTGAGTGACCAACTGTTTGTTCCATTTGTAAATACTTATAAACAGGTAATTAAGTAATAATACGTTGAAACGTATGTCATAACCTCTCAGTAAACCATCATGGTCGTTCGTGTTATCTTCTAGTTGCTGCAAAGAAACTTCAACTGTGAGGAGATCCCTTCAGAAAAGCAAGACCCAGAGTTTAGTAGTCCAGACATCCACATCCTGCACATCCGGAGAAAAGCCTGAGTTTGTGTCTACAGTAATCAGTATTGTACCCTAATACCCTATGGAAATCAGACTTCAATTTGTACCTGTTTTATATTTAATGTATCTTCATTTCTGTACTCGCTGTAACATTTTTTTAAGGAAATATATGTTTTGGATATATCACTAAAGAATGTACTTGATTTTTTTTTTTTAAAGCGAAACCATTGTAAACCTGTTTTTCGTAAACTTCAAAACACATGAAGATAATATCAGGAGTTTCATGGGTGTGTTTCATTGTAGGGCTGTGAAGGTAGATGGCAGACATGGGCAAGCAGAGACATGACAGACTATGCAGCCTATCCTTAATATAAAATGAGTTGTTTAAGCTAGACTAGATCACAAATTGACCACAATTAAACCATGGTTTCTTGGTGATTGTTTGGATTTTTGTCATGCAAATCTTTTAAATGTAAAAGACAGTGAAAGTTTGAGTTTAAAGCTCAGTAAACTGCAGCAAAATAAAAAAACATTAGACTTGCTGTGATTTTGCTTTGGACTGTTCAATATACATGTTTGTAGGTTATAACATTAGGATAATATGCAGGGTCACAAATTAGATTGATATAGTTGACCTTCCCCTAGAATGAGCAGCTGAGGTATGTAAATTCAGACATTACTGATTTGGAGCACTAGGGGGCAATAGTTGCCTTGAGTAAATACAAAGTATTTAACTTTGTGTAATGTTAAGCCTGTGCAATACAACCTATTAGATTATGACTACTAGTGAGGACCAAGATTGTTACATTAAAATTTAGTTAATTTAGGTTTTGAAATGTTATTTTTACCTTTTTATAACTTTTTACATTTAGAGAGGTGGGAAAATAAATAATGACTAAAACCTCCTTATCCATATGTTTCTGTAGCTTGCCCAGTTATAAAAATCTCCTAAAAAGCTTTTGCCCTGCCTGCGAGGGGAATTCCATCCCAAGCCCCAGATTAGCTGAAAGATTACGGCTCTTTTTCAAGCATAAACCATGAAGTACGCCCCACACTCCCACAGGCATGCAGGGGCCCCTCACAGCCTTTCATGCTGCACTCTGTTTACACAGGAGAGATGCAGTGTAATGAGCAGGGTGGCCTCCAACGCTCACACCAAATAAAAATGTTAATACTGAAGTTGACGGGTGAGGTTGACACTGAAGGTCCTATTAAATACCAAAATTACTTTATAAAAGATTACAATGTGGACTCAAGTTTGGTTATGTACATGCATTAATGTAATGTTCAATATTAGTGCTATAGGCTAACCTGTTTGCCTGAAATCTGCTGACACTGTACAGCAAACATCTGTGAGACCATAGTGTCTGCGAGCCATGAATATTCCTGAATTTAATGGTTACATTTTTTATTAAAATCGAACATTTCATTATCCATCTTGTGCGTTGTGTAAAAAGATCATTATATAATAATATATAAATACATAAAACAGCAGATGCTTTAGCAGTGTGTAAAGGTAATTCATGGTAAATCATCATTGTTTAAGTACAACATTATGAGACGTTTGCTCATCTGAAAACACGTACAGACACAAATAAAGTCCCTCCTGTCCCAACTGATATATTCTTTATCAACAAATTCCCCGTAGAGGCTTGGGAATGTAAGGAGGCGAAACAGAGAGGGATGAATCATGGTTAAATAATCTAAGCCCTGGATCCCTGTTGACCTAAATCAATGATATGGCCTAACACAAAAGGGATAAAGTAAGATGAATTGTCTTTATTCTCATTCTCTTTTACAGTTACTTAAATTAAAGCAGGTCATTTAAGATGATCACTCCCTGTGGCCCTTATCTGCCCTCTCACTTCTTCCAAGTCCAGCTGGGCTGCAACAATCAGACCAGGATATATGTCCGGCTAATTAATTTGTTTTAAAGCTGGTATTAAGTTCATGTCCCCCATGTGGCGAGGACAGTATTCAGGGGGGATATTGGGGAGATTAGAGGGGGATTCTGTGTCAACATTTCATCCTCCTCCCCACCCTTAGCTCTCCCAGTCAAGCCATTTATAATATGTTTTACAGTCTCACCAGTGCTATCTTCTTTATTAAAATGTTAACTTGAAATACTGTAGTTATATAATTTTTGTGGTTGGCTAATTAGGCTAGCACTACAGGGGAATACAGGAGGCTAAATGAGGACAGCCCACAGTGAAACCGTTACAGATTATTCCATAAAAGCGATAAAAATGCATCACTGGCGTACATACTGCATGCACCAAGACAGAATGGGGGCGTGTTCTGCCAACAGATGGTGCTATTTGTAGAAATAACTCTTACCTGTGTGGAAAACCTGCAGCAGGCTGAACAGTTAAAGTTCTCATAAATAGCTGAAAAAGCCACAAAGTCCCCTCTTTTTTACACAGGCAGTTTATTGACTATGGAATGATGATGACATTTGTTGGAGCTCTGTTGTATTTTTATAATGTGATGAGTCTTACTATGATCTTTGAGATTCATGTGCAATATACAAGCAGACATATTTAATTTCTACACAGATATCCTGGTAAATAACATCTGCATAGACCCCGTAATGCACCTGCACCCCCCCTGGTTCTTTGAAAACATGAGGGAGCAGTGCAGCGCCCCTCCAAACCAGCTGGGTGGAGGAGAGTCTGACTCCAGGCAGCCTGTTTGGTGTGTGCACCACTCTGCTGCATCACAGCCAAGTGACACAGAAGATCCTTTGTGTCTCCATCCTCACACTGCCTGGAGCCAAGAGACACTGTTCCAGAAAAAGGAAGACTCATTTTCTCGCTAACTATTAGGGAGTGGCTCAAGAATAGACATCAAACTGGGCTGATTAAAAATAGAATAATAGAAGAATCCGGCATGAGTGTGTAACTTCTCTGATCCTGCAAAGGTGCCTCACAGCCCATTTTAGGCACACAGATCACATTACACACTGGGCCTGTATGCTGCACAAAGGGCTCTGTTCCAAAACAAAGCAGGTGATTCGTTTTGCAGCTTCTTCAATAATGAGATGCAACAATGCTAATCATCTGTGGCACTCTTGTTCAATGGATTCAGAAGCAAGCGGTGGTACGGTGCCAGTGAAGCAAAGCCCGACAGGACAACTAGCTTATAGAAACACAATGCTGACTCAACCCCCCCTCACCCTAACCACTCCCTCCCCCCTGCAGGGGACAGGAGGATGGATGGGGGTGCTGTTAGGACAGCTGTGCTGCAGTTGAGAAGGGACACACAACCATACTGTGAGAAAATGATGCACACTCCCCACTCCTTCAATTCATGACAATACAGCAATATTCGACACACTAATGATTGTTTATCTGGATATTTAAAGAGCATTTATAACTCGTCTTTGTAGGCAGTATTAGGCTTAACTGTTACAATAAACTATGGGTATATGGTCAGTGATTAATGGAGGTAACGTGGTATCAGTAAAAATGAAATAGTGTATTGATCCCTCACTTGAAATACCACAGGTTATGCGGCAACTTGCCGGTGACTGCTGTCCCTGAGGCATTCTAGTGCAATGATGTATTTGTCATCATTAAGATGGGTGGCGGACCGAGGGGAGAACTGCAGAAGGGAGGGTAAAGCATGTGTGTGTGCGTGTGCGTGTGGTCTTTTCCTGAGTCATTATATCTCAGTAGTCTGAATCTAGTGTGAGCAGCAGCGCCTGACTTGCCTTAGATCTGAGGTTTCCTCCAAAATTGTTGTCTAATCCAGACGCAATGTCACTCCAAACACTGTCTCCACTGTAATTACAGCGCTCCTGTCAGACATACAGATGTAGTCAGTCATGGAGCGTGGCAGTGTGGTGGCAAGCTGCTGAAGGAGGCCTTTGAGGTTGCTCTGCATGGATCTCTATCATTGTGTCAGTCATTGTGTGAAGGCTGTGAATGAATACATGTGTGGCTGCTGGATACTGCTGCTGGGTGAAGGACTCCTGTCTATGTTCAACTTGGTATTAGAGTCACCCGTTTCTGTGGGTGTTGAGGTTATGTTGAGCCAAATTACACATGCCACATGGTTGGCAAAGGTCAACGCTCTGAATAATAATCTAAAAAAAATCCAATTCGTTTCATTTTGTTTTAGGAACTGACGCACGTTCTGTTCCTGGCAGCCAATCGACCTCAAGCTGCAGCACCATATATAACGTCTGCCGCCCCCCTCCCTTTTCTATACTGTAGCATTGCTTACATCTGAAGGCAAGATAGTCCACACTCAGCTACAATCCTTATTATCTCTGTGTGTGTTACAGCTGGAAAAACACAGCAGTGGAGTCCAAGGACAGACTGGTTCACACTTTCACACAGCTGTGTCCGACATCCTGCAATTCTCAAGAGGAACCATGTGGACAAATTTCAGGTTTTCACATAATGGAATTTCAATAGAAGCTAGAGGCTTAAAGAACATGTAATGGGACTTAGATTGTATGTTTTTAAAGTGGAGAAACCAACATGATTATAGGCCAGTAAGGCTGAACCAACACATCTGTACTGTATTGTTAATGGTTAAATCATGTAGTTAATGCTTGTATGAGCACTTTGTCTTTCGTTTAAAAAACAAATTGGTTTTGTCGTGTGGACCTTCAGCTTTTCATAATAATTTTCTGGTTCTTTGAATTTGTAACTTCACCACAGCAAGTAACCTTCAGTTTCAGATATGACTGGAATGTATTTTGGACCATTGCCCAGAGTAAACCTTGAACTTCACAGCTTCACATTTGCAACCTCCACTGGCCTACACCACTGCACAACCCTTTTTCAAATAGTTCATAACCAAAACCTTCCCTGGCACACAATAAAAACACAAGAGACGCCTACAATATAAACAAAAAAAAGAAGTGTGTATGGCACCAAGGGGTTTGCAACGTAGCGTGGCATTCAAGAGCGTTAGCCTCAGCAGGAAACCTGAAAAAAAGTTTAGCCACTTCCTGCTATTTGTTACACTGTGCTCTGCGTGAGTTCATTATTCAAAAGCTCTCTTGAAAAGGCTACCCATTGAAGGATTTAATCAGAGGACAGAGAGATAGAGGTTTCATAACCAAAGAGGCTGTTTTACTGTCCTTAAGCAGCCACTGTATTGTGTGAGCTGTGGCTTACAGTAGGTGTTCCCTCCTACCATTTGGCAGATAACTAAACCACCTTAATTACATAGTTCACCAATGTGCACATGAATATATGTGTCTAAAGGCATAACAAATCCAACAGTGATTATCCAGCTGGGTGTGGCTGTTCAACTGTAGGCCAACTGTAGGCCACATGTAAGCCTGCAATGACTATTCACAACCCACAGTCAGAAAAAGTATTATATCCGTACTACCTGCACAAATGTGACCCTGCAGTGAAGAGGAAGTAACGACAAGTGAGGAAGAAGAAACCACACCCTTGAAAACCAAAAGCATTACTCAGGCTATAGGTTTGTAGGCATGTCGGGCATGCAGCTGTAATATAGCCTTCCACTCACCACAGTTATCCTTAAGCTACTTTAAATCTTTCTCAAGTTGACTAATGAAGGCCGGGCTGTTATTGCGACAAAAGTATTAAAATAATGTCTGATCCATTATTGCAGAACTGAGCTCACCGAATGCGGGGTGTCTTTCAATTTCTCTACTCTCTTCCGCTTTTTATATAGAATAAAGGAAGTGACTGGAAACATGCAGCACAGTCAGCCACCTATGTAATACCAAAAACACCAGGCAACACTAGCAGGGTCCCATCATGCTGTCGTCATAGGAACTGCCCCAACAAACAGGAAGGGAAGATATCTTTGTGCAAACTAATGGAAGCATTTAGGCCTTTTTTTTATCATCCAACTTGTTGATTTGCTTTACACTAAGTACAGTTATTCATACATTGATATATATAAAGAACCCCCAAATAATCGTAGCAAAAATATGATCATAATAATTTCGAAAAGTATAGGCCTCTATACTGTGTGTTTATATGTATATAAAATAAAAAAATGAAATAAATACAATAAAATAACTAAATAATATTAGTGAAAAAGCCTAATTAATTTCATTCCTTAATTTCAGTCTTATCTCTTTACAGGACATTCATATAGAGTATATGCATATTGCCCCATATTTCCCTGAATTTAGTAAGTATTATGTCTGATAACAAAATTATTTAAATCAATGCAGGATGCCATTTCCTGTAACTAGGTTGCAGGTTTAAGGCTGTCCTTTTACACCTTAAAGAGACCACTCTCTTACAGCTTATCCTCTGTACATGATAGATTCTGACACCAGGACGGTATGGATCTGAAATAAGCTTTTTGTTTCATTTGTGAGATGCTAAATGAACGTGGTGCTGTGCTGTTGTGAACACAATCATATTCAAACCCCACCTTTCTAAATGCTGTCTTGCATCTCATAACACACAATAAATTATGAAACTGATTA